GACCCGAAGTACGACGTCATGGCCCCCTTTCTTCGGGCTGTTCCTACCGAGGTTGCACCATCTGTCAGTCAGGAGGAATCAGTCGGTGCCACCCTCCTTTCATATAATGTGCTTTCCCTGCTTGGTGCGGAACGCTCTTGCGCGGCTTCCGGACTAGCCGACATGTCCACCTTGCTGGTCTTCAGGAGTGTCGTACCCCTTCAGGGGTCTATAAATGTCAGGGGTATCATCGGTTTGCCTCGGGATGCGACCCTTCCGCTGGTTTCGGAGTCGAAATGTGGGTCTCTTCTGTCGGGCCTTTTCGACCCAACTCCGTTGCTGTTCTCCATGCTGAGTCCACTGCATTAATTGCCAGTATTCTGTTTCGCAACACTCACTTTCGTGTCCTGGTGGGTCACGCGCCTCACCGGGCGCACCCAGAGCAAGTGCGTCTAGCTTGGTGGAACCGCATAAGGGGGCTCTGCCGTACATTGGGCAACGGGTCTCAATATGGATCTTCCTGCTTGACGGTAACTGTCGATTCGGCAGCAACACTAGTTGCGCTGTCGGCCCGCATCATCCTGACACTGAAGACGCTTCTGGGGCAGTGTGCCACGAGCTTCTCCTTGAACTTGAGCTTTGGCTGCCAGCCACCTTTTCTCATGTCATGCATGGGTGGTACTCTCTGCGATGGAGACAGCCTTGTACGCTCGGATTATGTGGGGGTTCCTTCCAGTTGGAAAGAAGGCGAGGGCCGGGCGTGGGTCGACCCTGGCATCTCAGCTGGGCATGTCTGTATCGATCATTACGCCACATGCTTCTCCACTACACTGCGATTTGCCCGAAGGGGAAAGCCTGCCCGCCCGAGGAGGATTGATGTCTCAGCAGTTGCCCACCCCGACAATGCTGCCACCGTTCGTTCAATTATACAGAATGCGCCTCGTCCTGCCTGGGATGTGGACGTTAGTGAGCATGCTGCGGTGTTGGTGGATCATCTTTACAAGGAGCTTGTGAAGAATTTTCCTGTCTCTCGTCACTGTATGCGCGGCACCCATCTTTCGGATACGGCCTGGGAGCTACATCGATTGGTGAGTGCTCTCAGGCACAGCATCCGCTCTCGCAGGATTGCAATTGACAACACCCGCCTCCGTTGTGCTTTTCTGTCGTGGCGGTCTTGTCATAGTTCCTTCTGCTCCCTCTTCGGAGGACGTTGGCTTTGGGAGCTTCGGCATAGGTTCGCGCTATCCTGCCTTCTCCTTCGCCGGGCCGGTGGGGCCCTGCGGCGTCAATGCCGTGCTGATCGGGCGGCATACTTTGCAGCCGCAGCGGATGACATCCAGCGTAGTCCGCTGGGCGGTCTCCACCTTTCTGTCAAGCGGGTGTTGCGCCCGAAGCGCTTCCGTCGGTCCACTGCCAATCCTTTGCCCTTGCTCTACACCAAGGACGGCCAGGTCTGCCGCTCTGAAGTCGAGGCCAGGGCCACATGGAGGGAACATTTCAGTGCACTGGAAGACGGTGTTCCTACCTCCACTGCCGATTTGGTTGCTTCCTGCCGCGCCTGGCATGCTGATTTCGAGGGAACCGATGCGGTTGATGTGACCTGTGTTCCCTCCTTCGCCACCCTGGAAGGAGGCTTTCGTACCACCTCTGCTGCCAAAGCCAGTGGGCCAGACCTACTCCCGCCAGCGCTATGCCATCACTTCAGTGCGGACATGGCCCAGTTGTTCTGGCCGATGCTACTAAAGACTGTCCTTTGCGCCGCAGAGGCGGTAGGCCTCAAAGGAGGGCTATTGCACCATATCCCCAAACCGAACCCCGCCCTGCAACATTATTGCGCAGGCCACAGGGGTATTATGGTGCAGTCCTGCATCTCGAAAGCCGTACATCGATCGGCGCGCAGCTTGGCCACTTCCCAATGGCTGCCTTATGCCCTCCCAGTACAACTTGGAGGCCGCAAAGGCTGTTCGGCTCATTTTGGCCACTTTTGTTCGCGAGCTTTTCTCGCGACGTCCCGCTCCTCCAACCGCGCCGCTGGCATCCTCTTTGTTGATCTTGCCGCGGCATATTATAGCGTGGTCCGCGAGACTGTGCTTGGCGCGGGTCTTGGAGACAGGAGCGTGAGCTCCATTGCTGCTTCCCTTGGGCTCACTGACGCTGACTTGCAGACTTTACAGGCGCACATTGCAGAACAGCCAGTCTTGCGCGAGCAGGAGACCGCACCGTTGTTCATGGAGCTCGCACGGGAGCTGCATAGTCCCACCGTGGAACGCGTCCTGGTGGGGCATTGGCGGACATCATGTTTAACCTGTTGTTCAGCCGCGTCTTAGCTCGACGGGCACAAGCTGGGCTTGCAGGCACTGCCCCCAAGTGCCCTGGAATGGAGATCGCAGCCCTTTGCCGCTTGATGCCGCCAAGGCTTGTGCACCTTTGCAGGTCCAGGATGTCATCTTTGCGGACGACCTTGCCTCGTTCGTCACTGCGCCGTGTGCAACTTCCTTACGTCGTGCCTTGAGCGATGTTGCCGCAGCCACGCTTGATGTGCTCCCAGAGCACGGACTCAAGGCGAACGTTGGACCGACTAAAACTGCCGCTGTAGTCTCCATCAACGGCCCTGGGTCCAGAGCGGCCAGACGAGAGCTCTTCACTGCGATGAAGGGCCTCCTGCCTGTCTGGCCCGAAACCACGGGCGTAGTTAAGCTCGCACTTGTTACCACCTACAAGCACCTCGGCTCGGTGTTGACTTGGGACGGCAGCTTGCTGTTGGAGATCCGGCACCGCATGGCTGCGGGACGGGCTGCCTTTCGAGAAGGAAAGCAACGTCTTTTTGCCTGCAAGCGTGTTGACATCGGCAAGCGTGCTATGCTGTTCCGGTCCCACGTTTTGTCCACTATCTTGTCGGGATGTGGAACGTGGCCCCTGCTGCGTACCGGGGAGTGGCACCTCTTCGCAGGAGGCATCATTGGTCTTTATCGTCAACTCCTCGGCCTCCATGCCGAAGAGTGGCGGGTCACGGAGGCACAGATTATTGCACGTACTGGCCTCCCTTGCCCCCGATCCCTCTTGAGTGCCGAGCGGTTGCGATTCCTCTTGCTGATGGTCCGATCGGGCCCTGACTTTGCCTGGGCCCTGATGAAAGGTTTCAGTGGTTTCCTGCAGGGCTTACGCCTTGCTTCGGAATGGCTGCTTGAGGCCGGCTGTGGGCAGACAGAACTTGGCGGAATCGACCTCACCTGGTCCGCGTGGGAGGCTCTGATGCTTAATGCACCTGGCCGATTCAAAGGTCTCATCAAGCGGGCCGAGGCCTGGCATGGGGAATTGTATAAGCTTCGGGCGGCCAGTGAGACCTTCGGCCGGTCCATCTGGGCACCTTCCCCTCCGCCCGATGCTTTGGGCATTGCATCGTGTGTGCATGCTTGTTTGAAGTGTCGACTCGCCTTTCGCTCGCGCCAGGCATGGGGAGCCCATGCGCATCGCGCACATGCCTACAAGCACCCAGCGCAGCTTCTTGCTAAAGGCCGGAGGTGCCGAGCGTGTGGACTTCTCTTAGCGAGCTCAGCTAAGCTCTGCCTGCATTTGAAGCACTCTGATTCATGCCTTCGCATCCTGATGCAGCCTGCCAATCCTGAGCTGCTGTATGCGGCTGAGGAGTCCCTTGCACATGAACAAACACCGGCGGAACCTGGCCCAGGAACTCGCATGGATGCGATTGCGGGGTCTGAGCTCTGTCCCGAGCTTGCACATGCTCTTCGGTCACTCTCATCTGCCGATGATCAGCAGATCTATGACCTGGTCGAGAGCTTCGTTGCTCCTCTTCCGGTACTCCGTCGGACTCTGCTAGGATGGCATGCGGAATTGACTGATGCTTGCCTCGCGGCTGCTTGTGAGGATGTGCTGCTTGTGCTTCACCCAGAGCACCTTTGTGACCGCGTGTCCGGGAAGGCAACCAATGGTCCCTCTCCCACCATTTATTGCCCGCAGATTCTCCCGGCCCGGTTGGCGCAACCTCCGCCTGTGGGACCTGTTTGCTGGAGCGGCCGTTTGGCCACTGCTTGGGTTGAGCGTTGGCAGCTTGGGTGCTTCCCGCCGGTCGAGATCCCTCCCGACGACCTTGCGCCGGACTCGCTTCCTCGTGCAGCTGGCTACTGCATATTCTTCCCTGCTCCTCCCGCTGCGTCCTCCTCTATCTCCCATCCTCCAGCTGGCCCCGTGCGCGGCCTTCGGGAGTTTCGCTCCTGGGTCGATTGGACTTTCACTGTCTCCGGACGTCTTGTTTGCTTGGCACTTTCAGGCGCTCCGGTCCACCTTGTCTTTCCGGTCGCCGCCATTGATCTCCAGCCCTTTTCAGACTGGGTTATGCGAGTGAAGGGAGACCCGGAGGCTGAGGGCGCTCACCTGTTTTGTTTCACCTGCGAATTCGTTGCTCCGCCATAGGCACGTCCTCGGGACTTTTCGCCTCCCTGAAAGAAAGAAAAGGCCCCTAGATTATTCAGGGCCCATTTTGTCTCGGTTTTCGGGCAAAGCAACGGATCGGCCCGGCTCCTTGCACGGCTTAAGAGGAGCTTTAGGGAGCCTCCTTGAAGAAGACGCCGGAGTTTCAGAAAACAGGTGAAGCCGAGACATCGCCAAAATAGTAGGGTTCTTCTTGTAAGTATTCTGATAAAGGAACCTTACTGTTTGACCGCAACGGTCTTTATATACTTGAAGGTTCCCTTTGAAGAGAGCGCGGCGTGCCGAAGTAGAAGCGTAGGATGTACCTTACATCCGCAGCCTCTCTCTGGGTGTATATAGGGCTATGAGTGTTAGGGCTTGAAGGCTTCTTCAGCTACTGAGTGACCGAGTTTGAACACAAGTCAACCGATTGACTCCGTGCCTAAGTTAGGACGTGTTCAGGAGCTTCTTAGATTCGTGTTTTTTTTTTCAGAAAAGCGAAAGTAATGCCTCAAATCCTCAACCCCGATTCTTCAACACTGAGTCCCTAGCACCCCCCCCCCCAAATCATGCGTTCCCTCAACACTGAAAACATGCCCACAAAGGTTGCCTTCTCCTTCGTGCGCCACAACCGCTACGAAGCTATCGAGGCTTGGGTTAAGTCTTACAAGTCTAAGCGGGTAATAAATAGCGTTACTTGCAGGGCACACGCAGTTTATAAGGATTCCCTTGAAGCCGTTTTTACACCACACCAGTCCTGGTCTAATGGAGGGAATCGCTGGTTTGTAAAGGATTTGTGAATTAGTGCTCGCTGTGACGCCCTGACATTGGACTCAACTTTGAAAATGGTGCGGGCGTTTCACGCGGCTACCCCTCAGTATATCTCATACCCCGTGCAAGCAAAGCAATCGAATTCAATGGGGCCGCAGATTGTAACCAATCCTGCTGGCATATGCGGTTTGACACCGTGCGGACGTCGTCGGGATCGCATATATACGACATCCTCACGGATCCTCGCACTGCGAGGTCATCCAACGGGCCATCAAGCTGGCCACTTTGAACGTACAGGGCCTGCGGTGGGATAGTTTGGCCGCTCGCGAGATTGTCAAGAAAGTGGTGCCAACGCTCTCCACACATCCAGATGCTCCTCGATCCATTTCCTATTTGGCGAAGGACAGTAGGCCCTTTTTACAGGCTCTACGGGGTTCTATTGATCACGGAGGTCGCGGTTTTCAGCACCTCTGACAACCTGGTATCCCGGTATAAGGGGGTGGGTGGGTTGAACAGAACGCTTACTTCCGGCAGGTGGCGCAGGATCTAGGGTACAGGTGCAATGGGGTTCAGGAGTTTCAGCAATTGTGCCAGCAGTTAGCATGGCTTCAGGGTTTAGTGGCGCTTATCCGATATAATCCGCGTAGTTGAGGAGATGGGTAACCCCTACGCCATAAGAGTCCCGCGGGGCATGAAAGGCTTGCCGAAAACCGCAAGCTCTGGGGAAGCGGAGATTCATGCAGTTTGTGGTTTAGGCCTGTTCTAGCTATATATAATATATAACGGGGTCTTGGGCTTTAGGCTTGTAGGGTTTCGGATTTTGGGTTTAGGCTTTAGCTAAGGAGACCTTCCTGAAAGGTTTCATAGTCGACAAGGAAGCAATCCGAGTCCAAGAAACTCACTTTTTGGGCGGCGGTGACTTTGGACAAATTGCTATACACACTGTCCCGTTGTTTGAGCCGAACATATAACGTACGTCACTATCAAGGGATACATAGCACATAACTATAATCCGGTTTCATTATCTGGTATCTGAAACCAAATAAGTTGCTGAAGAAGAACCCTGATCACTCCGCGCAATTACGCTTCTTGTGAAGCCGCTGATGTGACCTACGTGCCCTGATAGTAAAGTTCGTAGACTTTAAATTCCAAACCCGAAACCCTAAGCCACAAAACCCCAAACACATTCTGGTAAGTAACTGGTTGATGAGTTGAGGGTTGTAGATAGGGCTTCGGATGCATCTAGCTACAGACCATTTCCCTACAGACTAAGTCCTCCAACTGCCAAGCTCGAAACCTAACCGACCTTCAACAGAGCCTGAATCGACGGACAGCAAAGTCGCAAGCCCTGAACCGGCCAGGCTTGTCATAGAAAGCCTTGATGTCTCTCGGGGGACGAATTGAACTTACACTGGTGTTTGATGGTGTGTTCTAGTATGATCCCACATGCAATGGAAACTCGTCAGTCTCCCATGCTGACCCTTGACTAGCTGGCACTTCGGGAAGCTTGTGAATTTCCCTTATGGTTCCTAGAGAGGTACCAATTCATAAACGCATTGATTTGGGGGCCCGAAACTACAACCCAGTTGAACGTGAAACCGCAGATCCTCTTAAGAGGCCCTCAGGTGGTAGGATCCGCACTGCGAGGGCCCGGTACGACTTGCCTCCTATCCTGCCAGCTCCAAATGCTCTGACTTTGGATTCCTTGGCTAACCAACCAGAACCTGCATTTTGGTAAGATCCCCACATAAATTATATTTTACTTGTAGGGTTTACATTGGGACACGACCCAAACGTGGATCATTATAGTAGGTTGAGATCATCATCTTGAAGCCCGTAGAAAAAAGATGAAAGGATGGCACTCGCAGCCAGGAGTGTGCACACGCGTAGCAGGTTTGTAGGGATTCGGGGTGTTGTTGAGTGTAGATAGGGTTCCAGTAGAAATTAAATCTTGGTGAGCATATACATTTAACATTTAGTTTCTTTTCCCATGGGCTTGCCATGAGAATAAAGCCATAACGTCAGGTACTGTATGGAAAGGGACCTGCGCCGAAAAGCCCCGCACCGAAAGCCTTAAACCCTCTCGACCAGTCGTGCCCGGAGGCGATCATCCAACAAGAAAGCGGCATTCTGGAAGCCAAGGCATCTGGGTAGTAGGGTGGTTTCTGGGCTTCAGGAATCGAGGCTCGGGCTTCGAGGGCTCCAGGGCACCCTTTCTATGGATTTTGATTTTAGGGTCTATGGTTTAGGGTTCAGGGCCTAAACCCTATACCCTAAACCGTTTCTATGGATTTTGAATTGGGGGGTTTCGTTCTTGGCATTCTTGTTGGACAGGTCAGGGTGATAGTTTGCATCATCGTGTCGACCGTACAGGAGGAGTCTATAGGGGTTCCCGAATCTAAGAATGTAGAGTCAGTGCAAAGGGTTTCAGGCCGTAGGGATTCGGGATTTAGAGTCAGTGCTACCATCAATCACTCAATGACTCTTCGGCATAGGCCTTTTGAGCACAACATGAAGCGTTCCGTGTCACGTGATTGGCTTCTTTTTACAGCATTCCCTCTGCCCCAAACGATGAAGCCCAAACCCTAAAGCCTACACCCACTCCTAAACCCTAAATTTGGCCTCAGCCATAAACGCTTGGCGACGGGGCTTGACACAAAACTTGGCAGGACGAGTTTGGCAACAACATGCTGCACATCGCTTGTGCCAACCTCAGCTGAGGTTCAGGGTTTGACGGCGAAGTTTTGTGCCTGGGACGAAGGACTCAGGGTTCACATTCTTAGCGCAGTTCCTGGGGTCGGTTAGCTCAAAGAGTTCATGTCTGCCGTAAGTTTTGCTGAGGGTTTAGATTCTTTTCGGAGGGGGGGCTGGCTCTGCTGGGTTTTGGAGCCATAGCCTCGCCATTTGGTCCGCGGCTGAGGCTAAGGCGGGCTTGTTTCTGCATCCAGCGCATGCCCGGTAAGTGGGGCGCTCCCAAAAGTAGGAACCACGAAACGGGTCCCTTGACAGCTGTTCGCTTGCACGCTTGTTAGGTTTTTTTCAAGGCCTTGTCCGACCTTGTCCTGCGAATCACTGCTCCATGTAATCCAGCGATCCAAGAGCCCACGGAGAGCTCCGTACAAGGTCAGAACGATCATCGCCGCATTGCAAAGCTGCTGCTCAAGAACGGCATCAATGCGCTGGACTTAGGGTTCAGGGATTGTTGCCATGCTGTTTGGCTTGAAACTTTCGATCTGGACTTCAAGCCAAGCACAGGATCGGGAGACAGTTAAAGTGACTTCTGGAGCCAGTCCAAACCCTGAAGCCTGAAACCCGAAGCCTCAGATGTGCCAGAGATTGAGGTGAACGATCAGAACAAAGCCGGCAACACGCCTTTGCACTACTGCTTTCAGTGTTGCCAGCCTGTTTCAATAGACTGTGAAAGCATGGCATGGTGCAGTGCTTTTGTCCGCTGCACGACGACCACGCCGACTACTACTATACAACCACCACCACCACCTCCACCACCACCACGACGCCGCCACCCCCACAGCCATCCCCACCACCGCCACCGCTGCTGCCACGTCCATGCTACTGCCGCCACCCCCGAAGAGGAATCCCAAGCTGGAGGTGGGCTTACGACAAGGGCACAACTACTCGGAGTCCTCCAGAGTGTACAAGGTTCATGACACTAGTAAGTTAGTAAGGATTTAGGATGTATAAGTTAACGGCCTGTGTTAGTCACCGAAGAGCTGATATTCGATTCAGGAGCCTTCTGTAAGGCAGCCATTCAATTAAGTTTTACACGGAATAGTCCCTCATTCAACACTTTTGGAGTCAGCGGTTTCAGGCCTCTGAAGTCGCTTACGACTCAAGGTTCAAAACATTGGGATTTGGGTCTTGGGGCGGAGGCTTTCAGGTCTCAGGATTTAGGTTTAGGGTCGGGCTCAGGGTAAAAAAAATGACCGTCGGGGACTCGTAGTCAGGATCCTGCTGTTCTAGGGTTGTCTATAGCGTCCCCAGAGTAAACTCCACCCACCAAACGATGTGACAAGCTCCAATTTCCTTTGCACGTCGGGTTCCAAAGTCCTTTCCAGTAGGCCCCTCATCGAACTCAGACTTCCGTGAAGGGTTCCTTTAAAGAGGCCCGCCCGTAATTCAGGAATATTCCTTGAACGCCTTATTCGGGAGTCTCAGAAACCCTGAACCCTAAGCCGGAATAGTCTCCTTCGGCAACACCTAAACAAACCGAAGGCCCGTAACCCCGAACCTGGGACCCTAAACCCTGGAAGCTTCAACCTCAGACGAGAACCCTAAAGCCAGCAGTTAAAAACATTCTGCTAACATGCCAGGTACAACTTCTTGCACTTGTCCGACTACCTCATCGCGCACGGCGCGGACGCCGCCCGTCCGATGTCAGAAACGAATGGGAGCTCCTAAATTACGGGGCTTCCTATTTGGGGAACTACGGGGTTTCCTATTTGGGGAACTACGGGGTTTCCTATTTGGGGATCCCTTCTTCGGGTGGTTTAGGGTTTAGGGTTTAGAGTTCTTATACAAAGGATCCTGCTGCTTGGGGCCCTGTACTTTCTCAGACTCCCACTTTAAGAGGGATGAGGAGAAGACTGTTTAATGTAGGGGCCTTCATAATTTCAATAGGGCTGCAGAAGTTCCTCGCTGGAAGTATAGCATAATATACCCCCAGACGCTATTCTAATTCTTAAGGCCCCTATATCGCGCTGCAGGGGCGGGATGGAGTTCTTGTTGGAAACTTTCGAGATGCATGTTTGGGGGCATTCGAGGGGTTTCAATTTCAGAAGGGAGGCCGGAATAGTGGGCCATCGCATCCCACTGTAGTCGCCATCTACAGTACGAAGTTGAATATGATAGGCCCCAAAGCCCTGTTCCAAGGCCCCACAAATTAGGGGTTCTGAGGGGTTCTTGAAGGCTTCGGCAGAGTTTCTGAAGGCCTTGCACCCGACACCCCAAACGGCTTGCCGGGCCTCCGGCACCTACGTCGGCAAAGGGATCTCTCCAGACATGAGCCTGTAGAGCCAGCACTTCCCAAAATGGCTTCAGAAGCATTTAAGCTGAAGGCTGAGAAGCCAGGAAACTTTATACCAAAGCCTAAGCCCCGAACCTTCAAAAGCCTTGTGCGACCTTTTCGCAGCTAAATATCCTGTATAATCCCATCTAGGACCCTACAAAAATCCTATCATTAAAACCCCGTAGAGCCCCTGTCATTGAAAACCCCTTGAAAGCCCGATGAAACCTCATTTAAAAACTAATAAAACCCTCCTAGACTTAGTTCCCCAACGCCCAACCTTTAATTAAGCTTTTTGTGTTCGCATCATTTAGTAGCAATCTGAAAGTGAAACCTGTTATTTCCCTGGCTTATTGGGGAGGCAAGTCGAACCCCGAATCCCCGAATCCAAGGAGACCATCGCCAACAAGAAGGGCCTCCTCCCCTCGGAGGGGACGGGTCTCGAGGCCGGGGGGGGGGAGGGGTTTAGGGTTTAGGGTTTAGGGTTTAGGGAATGTTTCAAGATTCAGGGTTTCAGGTTTAAGGGGGGTTCTAGGGTGGTTTTTTAATTTAAGGGTTTTGGGGTTTCGGGTTTCGGGTTCAAGATCTCGGGTCTGGAGTTACTAAGGGGTTTGCGGTTTATGATTTTTAGGGTTTGCAGGTTGAGAATGATTTAGGGGTTGGGTTTCGGATGTCGGGGTTTAGGGGTGCAGCGGATTTAGGATTTAGGTTTAGGGTTTAGCTTACGCGTTCTTCAAGACTGGTTGCTTGGTAGTGAAGCCGTTGCGAACCCTCCACGTGCTTGAGACCCAGAGCACTTCTTACATTCTATAAGAATTTCATAAAATGCACAGACATTGAAACAAGATGGAAAACTTGTGAGAGCCTGCAAACGCCCCGAAACAACATTGTAGTGTTATTATACGGGATCTGGAATCCTCACCTTTCTCTCCTGCCCCAGGGCGGTATGGGCGTGTAGACGACGAAGGACGGGCTCTGCTTCGCGTGGTTTTGGGTTTTGGGATTTAGCGCTTCGCGCTCAGAGCTTGATGGCTGTCAGTTGTAGGAAGTGGAGACACGGACACGCAGGGCTTGGAATAACTCGCAATATTACCCACTGAAAGGTTCCAACAATACTTGTACCAGGGTCGACCCCCGAAACGTTGTTCCAATGATTATAGCCATTTTATCATCATACGATTCTCCATGACACTCCAACTTCGGAGAGCTTTGCAAAGAAAGGCCTGGACATGGAGCTCCATCATCCAGAAACGGCACAGTGGATGACACCACATTAGCTACGTCGAGCGAAATCTGGTGCTGTTATAAAGAGTGGCTTAGCACCCATGATGGTGATGATGATGATGAGGATGATGATGATGCTTAGCATGATGATGCAAAACTCAAAGTCCTAAGCCATGTACCAATGCAGTTGGGGTGTGGTGTTAGGGTTACACTTTAGGGTTTAGGGCTTGTCGATGCTGAAACAAACAGTTTCACGATCCCAAGCAGCCGTCAGTCAAGACCTATGTCGCCAGGCAGCTGCACCCTAAACCGTCATCAAACCGGGAGGTTTATGGGTTCAAGGCATTACGCTTGTAGCGTCTCGTGCGCCGTGCGCCGAGCTGAACATGAGTGAACGGCACGACAAGCGGGAGTTACCTGCTCGAAGCTTTCTCATGAAGATTTGAACCGTTTCCCGCATTTGTGTGAAGCCTCCTCGTCAGGAGTGGCGCCTTGGCGAGGAGCACTGTTTCACGACAGATTCGTTTCACCTGCCATCATTCGTTGCATGCATCTTTGGGAGCCTACCCGATCCCGCGTGCTTCATCCTCGGGCCATAAGAAAGGGTTGCTTAGAATGAGGGCTCTGCTGTTTATGTGGGCTAGGACCATGGGTGTCTCACTTTCTGAAGTTCCAACAGGCTGTTTCAGCATCCAGACCGTAAGTCGTGATTCAGAAGATTCCAGGGTTTAAGGCTAAAGCAATGGGATAAACTTAGAGCCCTACTCTGCCACGGCCCTGAATCTAAATCTCGAGCTTGTAAAAACCAGCGTTTGCTGCCTCGGGCTGGTGCGTTGCTTGAGCTTGAGGATACGATCTTCCAGATACCCGAGGACCTCAGACCTCCACACCCTGAGCCTTAAACCCCATCTTATCGAGCTTGATATCGCCTATGCCGTAAACTCCAGATCCTACACCCGTACCTCCCGAAATCGTACACCCTAAATTCCTCAGGCCCTGAGATAGGAGCCGCAGCAAATAGTAGTTATATTCGCTATTATGGTAGAACTAAAAAAGTAAGTGCATATATGTATATATGCACACACATACATAGACCCAGAAGTTCAGGCCCGAAGAAAAGCCCCACGAAGCGCCCTAGAATCTAGAACCCTCTTCTAAGAATTAAGGCCCCCACATGGGGCCCGAACTGACCTAGGAGTCCTAGCTTCGTGATTTTCACAAAGGCTTTGCAGGGCAGTAGGGTTTAGGGTTTAGGGTTCAGGGGTTCGGGTCGGGTTTATAGGGATGGGGTTTAGGGTTTAGGGTTCAATCTTTAGGGCTTTTTGGGATAGGAATGCACCCTCAGCTGCCAGAATCAGGAAGCCTCAAGCCCCTAAGCTAAGCATCTGCCATAGACCCCTGCTTTCATTGAGAAGAGCCTGCAGACCCTGCATTTGTACCTCCGCCAAAACCAAGAGCTTGAATCAGGCACTCCGCTAAGGCCCTGAGTTTCAGCTTTCGGGGTTTCGTCTGTAGAGTTCCAAGGCTCTGGAATCCGGACATAAGGGTTAGGGTTTAGAGTCTAGGGGCCTAAGAAGCTACACCCCTAGGCCCTTGAAGCGGAAGACTTCAAACCCCTGAACGCTTGCATATGTCGGGCTTGTGGTGTAGAGTTCGCCAGGCACAAGGGTAAGTACGTGTTTCCGGTTCCCCAAAGTAGAGCTGCGAAACCTTGTTCAGGATGCCCGTGCCTTGGGGTGTTAGGGCTGAGGGGTTTTGAAAGATTGGCCCAAAGAGGGTTTGGGGTACATCAAACTTTCATTACAAAGGGACTGTCAGGACACCCTCATAAGATAAGTATTCGTTAGACCAAACCTGTGTGTGATGGCTTTAGGGTTTTCCGTTGCGCAGGTTCCTGATGCGCATCCATCGCGAATCTGCTGCCCCTGGAGGCTTGCCTTTCTTCAGCTTCGTGCTCAAAGCTTTACCTGAAGTGCCGAAAGTCGAACCGCAAGCCCGCAGCCCGAGTGTTCAAATTTTGGGGTTCGGCGGGCAGCTAAACCTCTGTATGGCGAGGTTTACGGCTTCGACAGGCTTTAGATTAGAGGCAGCTCGAGACGCTGAAGTCTAAACCCTAAACTGCTTGGCCTAGGCCGGGTTCGAGATTTAGGCTTGCAAGCAGCTCGAAGAGTTGCTCAGGTGTAGGGGTCGGGTGTTGTCGGGTAGAAAGGCAGCAACAACACCACCGCCACACCGCCACACCGCCACCGCCACCGCCACCGCCACCAGCAATAACAACAAGAACACCAACAGCAACAGCAACAGCAGCAGCAGCAGCGGCAGCGGCAGCAGCAGCAGCAACAGCGGCAGCACCACCACCACGACCACCACCACGACCGCCACCACCACCACCACCACCACCACCACCACAACCAGCACCACCACCACCACCACCACCACCACCACCACCACCACCACCAATAACAACAACATCAACAGCAGCAGCATCAACAGCAACAGCAACAGCAACAGCAACAGCAACACCAGCAGCAACAGCAGCAACTGCAGCATCAACCACAGCAACAACAACAGCAGCAACACCACCAGCAACAACAACAACAGCAGCAACAGCAGCAGCAACACCAACAACACCAGCAGCAGCAGCGAGAGCGGCAGCAACTGCAACAACAGCAGCAACAGCAGCAACAACGGCAACACCAGTAACAACAGCAGCAACAACAACACCTACAATATCGCGGCCACCACCACCACTACAAACAACAGCCTTCAAATACGACAACCTTCAACGACAACAACAGAATGAGCAACAACACCGACAACAGCAACAGCAACAACAACAACAACAACATTAACAACAACATTAACAACAACAGCAACAACAACATTTTTTTCAATTGGACGCTGCGCGAGCGGGCTCAGCGCATAGCGGGCATGTAGCCGCCT